GCACAAATTCTCTCTCTCTCTCTCTCTCTCTCTCTCTCTCTCTCTCTCTTACACACACACACATACACATTGCACTGCTCTAATAGCCTAAGCTTGTGCAGTATGCTCAGTTGACTGTGGAAACTCCTCTTCAGAAAAGACCCAAATTATGCCTTGACACTTCCCAACTGGACTGGATTGGTGTGTGTGTGTGTGTGTTGTGTGTATATATATATATATATATGTATGTATGTGCTGTATTAAAAATAATAATATTCTCTTTTACAGACTCTCCAGTCTTCATCTCTCATCCTCACTTCTTTAATGCTGACCCTGTACTGCTGGACTACGTGCAGGGCCTTAATCCAAATGAGGACGAGCATGGCCTCTTCATAGACATTCACCCAGTGAGTCCGCACACACACACACACACACACCAACATTTTTATGTCACTAATAATTAAATTTAGCTTGTTGAAATGGTGCCTCAGTATGATCCGTGTGTGTTCTCTCCTGAGACTGGATGAAGTGGTTGTGCTGCACTGATTAAAGTAGAAACATATTTTAGTCATTTTGCCAAAAATAAAGATGGCCTCATCCCCCCCATCCTCCTTATTTACTTTTGCCCACTGCCAAGAGATAACAGTTAATAATACAGAGACACAGGATTACAGCTGCACTCTTACTTAAAGGCTTTACATGACACTGAATGTGCACTTCAGCGCTGTTGTCGCTGTCCTCGAGGCCTCGTGTGGTCCTATGGTGGAGGTGGACTGATTACATATCACAGACTCTGCAAACTTTGAATGTGTGTCATGGTCAAATACAAGTTTGAATCTCCAGTCGAGGGTGGGTAAAGGGCTGCATCCTATTTTTTTTTTAACTTTTTTTAAATGCTTTCTTTACCTATATAAATACTCTTGTATTGTATGTATGATATCTTTTAAACATGCTTCAGCCTGCTGATCTATGTTTTATATAGATAATGTCATTTAATTATACTCTCTTGGTCCTACTTTTCAACAGTTTACCTGTTGGTTTCTCTGACGAGTTTGAATATGAAAATCATGCATGCTAATGAATTAAATTGGTGTGATAAATGAGTGTATATCTGATTTATTCAGAAAGAATGAGACTCACCAGTGTAAAGGAATCAGCCTGCTGCAGGGAGATTGTGTGTACAAAAGGTGGTTATCATCATGCAATCTTAAAACTATCTGCAAAGCTAGCTGCTCATCATTATTATCATATCTGTTGCTGTTAATATAGGTAAACTATGTGGAGGAGGCTTAAAGTTAATGTTTGTTTGTCTTCATGTTGAAGTCAGAGGAAAGATCCCTGAGACACAGTGAACTCAGTGATATCAGGTTTTATTACTGTACAATAACAGTGAAAGAGAACTTATGATAATTGCATCAGTAAACTGTAAATGCCGAGGACAGATAAGTCGGATACAACACGGTCATGATTCAGCTCGTTCTTACACAACTCCGCTTAAACCTCATCAGCAGTGTAGTTGGCTGTAACCTGCGTTGTGATAAGGTAATTGGAAATTGGGCTATTTCTGTTTAATTGGCATTGTTTGTGAGTTAAGGGTTGATAGAAATGTTCTATGGCTCTAATAAAAAAATCTGGATCTGCAGATTAAAGCTCATGTGCGCTGGTTCCAATTATATCAGAGGACAGCGTTCAGTCGAATCCTGAAAGTCTAGATCGATATCAAGTTAGTAATTAAGGGAAATCATTTGGCGTGGGATTTTATGAAGCTAATTCAAAAGACAAAGTGACATTTGTAACCGTAACCCTATCAAACATCAGATCGACATTAACATATAATCGACGTTAGAGTCGGTTTGTTGACTTGTGCTACTGTTACACTACATTTTACCAATATACAATGATCACAGGTCCTTTCAGACAGCGAGCCGCCATCACCTGCCAACGTCCGAGATCTGCAGAACACAGTGGTTCCTAACTGTTCCTGTTCCTTAGGAGAGTAAACTGACGACCCCTGACTGACATATTTTATGGATAGTTCATATTGTATTATGAACACAATAATTGCGTAAAAAGAGAAATTTTAAGCAGATTATTTCCTGTGAAAATTTCTTCACAATCATGCAGACTTAATAGGTTTCCTTTTTGACAAATCCAGTGTTTCATTCTCCCTGATGTTTGACCATTTGGTCTATTAACTCTTTGGGTGGACGAAGTACTCAAAGAGTAGATCTTTAAAACAGATATTCACAAAATGCTTCAAAATCCCTTAAAGTCAAGAAGGCCTAGTGACCCCCCACGTTGACACTGGAACTGAAATCCTAAATTTTTCTATACTGAATTTTTAACACGCATACAAACAGTATACAGCCAGTCCCAGTTGAATCAAAATGTGCCAGAGTTAACGCGCTTTAATAACTTTGTAGTAGCGCCCAGTTTTTAAAAAGAGGCCAACAGGTTTTCAGCTCGGGATGGGGACATTTTAGAAATCCAAACAATGAGTTTATTCTTTACAGCTGGCTCAAATCAAATTGTTCAACCAATTTGTCGCTCGGACATGAAGAAGAAGAAGAAGAAGAAGAAAAAAAGGAGCTTTGAGGGGGAATAGGAACTGATGACATAACAAAGGAACAATTCTTACACAACTGAAACACAAACAGGCCTGATAGGGACACGCATTAGGACCGCTGAGGAATGACGGGACAGGATTAAGACATATAATGTGTGATATGTAAAGAAAACAGTAAAAGAACTGTCCCCTGTTTGTTTTGAGCCTAGACAGTGTGACATTTAACAGTTGGTCTGCAGATCTGGTTAGTCTTGGTGCTGAGCTCACAGATATTCAAAGGTGCCACAATGAGCTTTGACTGTGATCAGGAGGATATTTGCTTTGTATTAGTCTTCAGCCAAATTATGCATTGACAAAGACTAAACAATGAACCTATTAAATTTCTGTGGTTATGAAAGCGTCCAGTGTTGCTCCTTTAACCTTTCTCTGTGTCCTAACTGTAGAAAAAGCTCTCTGGGGCTCGGGGACATTTCATTTCCTGTGCGTTCCACTATTGAATGCTTGATTTCCGGATCTCACATGCTGGATGTTACAAAACATCAAAGTCCAGTATTTGTGTAGCTGGAAGGCCAGATGCTGAGGAAACATTATGGGAGGGAGAGGGCAGCGGGAGAACAGTTACGATAAAAAGCCTTGGTGTTGTCCATAAGATTTATGCTTTCATTCAAGACTGCAACAAACAAACAGAAGAAGGCAACTTACGGATTCTGAATGCTTTATAATGATAATCAGAAAGCTGGAAAGATCCATTGCTGAAAGAAATATTATTTGCAGCCAGGAGACAGTTTGAGAAAAAACAGAGGCTCCTGGTAGATCCACCAGAGTCCACTGGGTCTGAGCTCAAGGTCTGGACTGTGCTGCAGAATTTGTTCTGCCAGAAGAGCACTCAGGATCCCAACAAAAGTCTTTCAGTTGTTTTTTTTTCCCCCCAAAGTGTAATTGGTGTCAGTGCTCGTTATAATGATGCAGCTCGCTGTGTCTTTACACTTATTGGTTCCATTAAAATGGAGATTTCTTGTTTGTTTTGTTGTTTTGTTTTCTGAAGTGTGTTTTTGCCTGCAGACTGGCTCAGATTAAGGGTTAAAAGCATTTACAATAATCTATGTAAATGTACAATACATACACACTTCCACTGTATGGCCAAAAGTATATGGACACATACTTTTCCACATCCTAATTTTAATAGTTTGGACTGGACCCCTTTGTTTCAGTGAAGGGAAAGTTAATGCTACAGCACACAATATAATAATAGTGTATAGTTTAACTGTTATTCTTTCTCCTGTTTCAATGCCCCAGTGCACAGAGCCAACATCATAAAGACATAGTAACAGATTTCTCTGTTTGGTTTGGAAGAACCTGACTGGTTTACACATGGCCCTGCCTCCCAGCCCTGTCCTATATGGATTAACTATGTCACTGGCTCTGAGCCAGGCCTCATCACCCAACACCTCACTTAAATCTCTTGCAGCCAAGTTCCAACATCTGGTGAAAAGACTGAAACCAGAAGAGTGCTTCTGTGGGAACAGCTGATGAAAGCTCTGAATGTTAGCTATGCTAGGACACAGCATGACTCCACGGCTACTAGCAAGGTCTGTCAGTCCACTCTCGCTCAGACTGAAATAACTGTTTGATGGATTGTTATTGAGTTTTGAACAGACATTGGTGGAGTACTCACAGGGCGTATCCCGCTGACTTTGGTGAGCTGTGATGTTTACTCTAGCGGTTTTTGGTTTTTACTGAAGAGAAAGAAACGTATTAAATAGAGATCCAGCAATACTACTGGAAAAAAGACCCATTATTGCACCAAACAACGCTAGCGTGGAGACTTAATTTTGTTGAATGAGTTGAGTGTACCGTTTGGGTGGCTACGTTGTGTATTTAAGAAACTCCATGAAGCCTGACTGTAAAGCTTAAAGTCGTGCAAGGATATGTCTTTCACCGTTACGTCTCACTGGTTGATGTTTCTGCTAATCCAGTTTAGTATCGGTCCGTAGGTGAACGATCTGATGCTAAATCTGTATTGTAGTTAAATTTCTTATATCATCCAAACATCGTCCCCAAAGGAATCACTCACATATGAGGATTTCCTTCTTTTGTTTACTGTATTTGGTTACACAAGAACATTTTTATAGTTGTGTGGAGATTTAATTGTTCCAATACTAATTTGAAAAGTGAACCTCTTTATTCCTTGCGTGAGATTTGTTGATTGTTTTTTCCAGCAAACTGGTGTCCCACTGAACGTGTCCATCCGTCTGCAGCTCAACCTCTACATGAAGAGAGTGTCAGGAATTACGTAAGGAAGTTATTCCCTAAACTATAGGCATGCCATCAACATCTGCCACGTATTGTGTTTTACATCTATTCATTGTTCATTATGAAAGTGGGCATTTCCTGCTTTTCTCACCATTTACTTTGCAACCTTGTCCTTGTAGAGAAACTGGCAAGATTTCTGAGGTGGTGATGCCAATGATCTGGTTTGAGGAGGTAAGTCATCAATGCACATTTTTAAAAATATAACTGCAAATTAGAGCGTTTAAAGCGTTCTTATCATACACATCTGCCAGATCTGGGTTCTCACATCTCTATTCCCAGTGTTACCAGTGTGTCAGCATTGATTTCCCAGTTGTGGTTAATTGTTGTTCATATTTCTGTTTTTACAATATTTCAGTTGCCAGAGTTTGCGAAACACAAAATGTTCTCCTCCTAATTTTGGCCTTAAAATCTCAGTCAGAATACAAAATGAAAACATGTGTCCAAATAAACTGAGTTAATACAATAAGCACAAAGTTTATTACAGCATCACAAACTTTTATCACCGTTACATTATAAAATAAAATGTTAATGTCAGATAACTGTAGATAATTGTATTGTTGTAATTGTAAATATTGTACGAATATGAGCATAAAGAGTAAAGTGTGTGCAGAATTCACAAAGGAAACAAAATTACATTTGAAATCTTTAATTTTATTTGCTATTTTTGTAAATACAGATAATGAAGTCTAGAGTCTGATATTACTGTAAATTACAAAGGACACAATTACCAACCTTGTGGGGAGTAGCAGAAAAGTAATATAACCAGTGTAACTAATTACTGTTGGCAGGGAGTAATAAGTAAAGTAATAATATTACTTTTGAAAAGAATAATGAGTGACAAATTAAATTTGAGTAACCAACCCAACACAAGCATTCAGACCTTTTACTTTTGGTAAAAGTAGCAATACCACAGTGTATTAATGCTCTTATACATATAGTATTTGAATCAAAACATATCTAAAGCTCCCCTCTAGACATGTACACATTGTTTTGCTCATTTGAACTCTGTTGTAAAAACTGAGGCACAAGCTGCTGTATAATCCCATAATTCACCTCAATGTATTCTTTTTTTCTGCCGTTTTCTTTAACCTCCTCAGAGCGGCTACATAGACGGCCCCATCCTCAACACGTTCCACACGAACCTGGTGATTCTACCTGCCGTGATGGAGTTCATGCAGTATGGCTTCATCGCCCTCGGCCTGGCGACGATAATAATCGCCGCCCTGGTTTATCACAGAGCGAAGGTAAAGCTGCCACACGGCGCGGTGTCTTTCTAACTGCATGTAGCATGTCGCACAGTTCCACATGTTCTCCCACAAACAGACAGAGAAAGGAGCAGGAGAGTCTGCACTGAAGATGTTCTGATATTTATATTATTTTCCTCCAGTTATTAGTCTAATCTGGTTATGTGAAATAAAATATCACCCATCACTTCCAACTACCTCACACAAGTTCTGCATTGCATTTTTACTTCTGAAAAAGAAGAATATGGCGCAGCATCAAATTCACTTTTATCCACTTTATATTATAGCTGGTGTTACATCATGCTCTGCTCGAACAGCAAATAAAATAGATTAAAAGTTTGATTAAGCATTTTAAATACACATTGTTCTCTAAAGAGTCAAAGTTTAACTCCACTCATTAGAAAACAGACATAAACATTATATTACAGCTTGATTTTTCTGTCTGTAAACATTATTACTAATAAGAAGACCCAAGTTGTGAGACTGGGTCTTTCAAAGTAGAAGTCTGGTGTTGTTCTATATTTTTCTTATTGTCAGCAAATCCCACAAAAAACCACAACCATCAGTTTGTTAGTCCGTCTCTCATACCGTCGGAATTAGTTTAGTTCCTTAAACAGGAAATAATCTGCTCAGAATTCATCCAAATCAACCGTTTTACGAAAACTTCCTGCAGTTACTGAGTTCACTGTTTGGATTCATTGTACAGTTTTAAATCTAACATGAAATATCCATAAAATATGTTTCTTAGTCAGTTTACTGAATGATAGAAAAAGAGGTCCCTTAAGGAAAAAGGTTGGGCATTGAGTCAAAAAAAGTCTGTTCATTGTTGTTTTGGGTCTTTTCATGCGATTTATTGACGATCTATAGAATATCACCTGACACCTGATGTTGAAGATCATTAGTGTTTTAACTTCCACACAGTCACTCTTGCTCCTCTGCTGACCTCCTGTATTTATATAACCCTCCCAACTTTATCTTCAAACTTAAACTCTCAACCCCCTTTGACCGTCTGCATGCATGAGAGTAAAAGTTCACATCTATCACGTGTAGATGCCTGGTGAACCCCACCAGCCGCTCCTTGATGTTCTCTTTACCTTTTTTTTATCTTCACACTGATGGCAACATGTGAAACATTATCAGCTCCGGCATAATTGGCTGTGCCACAGTACACAGTAGTCTCGTGTTATATAGTCGATTTTGCACATTCTGTTTGTTCTGAGTAAGTCAGCAAAAGTTACACCTCAATTATAACCAACCTCCGGACTCTCTCATATAGATCCAGCCTTTAAAATGTGTTTTTATTGTGTTGTTAGATGCATACATATGAACTCAGTGCTACAGTTTGGCAGAAACACTGTGGACGTTCCTTAACATGGCTGAAAGATTGAAAAAATTGCATCTTTCCTCTTATAGATTTTAAAGGAATAGTTTGACATTTCAGAAACCTTTGTCACCTTGTTGCTGAGAGTTAGACAGTAGATTGAATTAGCGAGATTTAGAGGAACTGGTAGGTGTAAATTGGTATTTTGTGTCCCCCTGTTTCCCATACGCTAAACATGAGGCTACATCTAGGAAACAGTTAGCTTAGCATTAGTGCTTAGCCTTTGTACAGATCAAACAAACAAGATGTAGTGTTTCCAGTCTTTATGCTAAGCTAAGCTTGCTACTTTCTGGTTCTAACTTGATATTTAGCAGACAGATAAGAGAACGGTATCAATTCTCTTTTATAATAATCATATGTGAAACTATTACTTTAAAACAAATGAGCTAATATCTACTACTGTCCATCATATCAATGTTATAAGTTAATTTGTTTTTGTGCTGCGTGATGTGTTACGAAACACATTATGCCTGATGTTGTATAACGCCATAACCAGTTAATGAGTATTCTGTTGACATCTCACTATCACAACACTGCTGGAGTGGTTTTATGGTCCGCAGCAGATATTCAGCTGCCAATAAACGAGATCGAGTGGTTTGCAGGGAGGTTTAGATTTCAGTGAAAAGGTTTTTATAAATGAGCGCCAACGGGTTTTAATGTCCTGATTTTAAAAGTGGTTTTGATGTTTTGTGTTTGCAGAGGTCTCGTAAAAACGCTACGTTGATTTCCACAGTGGTGAAGAACCCCGGGGTTTGTAAAGCTTCTTAAAAAATCTGGATTCAATCATCCAAATCCAAATTACTCTGCCAAAATCTGATCTTCCTTTTGATTTTGAACTGAGGGTATCGGCTTGATTTTTGGATTTTATTTTCGTTTAGACTAATCAGTGCAGCAAGAATGTTTGTTCGATTCATTGGCGGCCCACTTTTATTTTACAGTGTTTTCCCTGCAGCAGCCTGTGACAGCAGCGTGTGCAATATATTTGATCAGATTTCTAGCTTTCAGGTTGTTGTTGAATGGATTAAGAAAATGTCTTTAATTCTATAAAGAATATCAGATATTTATCTATGTTTTATTATGTTTTGGTTTGCGTAGCTATACTGTTTGTATTTGACATCCTCTCAGCATCCTTCAACTAGACATAAGATGATTAGTCAACTGACAGAAAACTGGCAACAAGTTTTTTAAGTAAAACTGCCAAAAATGACTGGTTTTAACTTCTCATATGTGAATATTTTTCTTCTTTTGTCTTTCATAATATTGAACAAATTTTATACTTCTGGTTTGACAGTAGAAGCATCATGAATATTTCAACTTGGACTTTGGGTTGTAAAAATGTTACAAATGTAAAAAAAAAATGATTAGAAAATGCAGTTTCCCAAACAAACAAACCGCTTCGTAAAAAAAGTCATCTCTAAGTCCAGCTGTGAAATTTGAACCATATGTATGTGAGGGCAGGAATCTGACTGTCTGAACGTCACATTCACAAATCGTCAAGTAGTTTTATATTAGCCAATTAGCATTAACATTTTGTGCTACACAATGCTACAGAAGCTATACACACTCCCTCAGAGATAACCTATGTAATGGTTCATTGTTGCTAGTCTAGCGCTTGTGTTCCCCCATGATTAAACAGAAACACTGCAAGTGTCAGTTGGTCGATTTGAAGCATATTTTCTGTATCGCAGATTTCAAATGTCTATATTTTTCTGTCTTTTCTATCAACTTTTGTCGCCTGATAATCAAAACTGCTGTGGAAGCAAACAAACCGAATGCCTTCACTTTTACTTGCACAATGTTGACACTGAATTTATCAATCGCATGTCCACTTAATTAACTGCATGGTCGACTCAATCACCACCACATAATGACTCCTCGCATGAATATCTCTGCACGTCCACAATCTCAAATAAAGCCTGATGCTGCTGGTTTCACCTGTGTAACAACTCCAATCGAGCCAGCAGCCGATTGTCTTTGTATTTTCTGATTGGCTGACATGTAAGACAATCTGGTCATCTTTTAGGCCTCTGATAAAGACCTGGTAAAAGGTTCACATGTCCACGACACAAAGGAGAAAAGTATCACGTATAATTCAGGTAGGTGAAAGAATACACACATATATAAATGCACTCATTCCTTGTGTTCAAGCTGCAGAGCTGAGGGAGTTTTTCTGCTTAACATGCAGAAATCAAATGTGTTGTGGACCCAAATGCAGTGACGTCCCCATTTGACAATGTGGATGATTCCATTTTTACATCTTACGCAGCTTTAATTTTTGTTTTCACACCACATTTAAATATCGGTTTATGAGTTCATGTTTTAAAAATGGTTTACATAATTTTGTGTACTGAAGTTTAAAGATCATCTCCAGACATGTATCAAGACATACTGTATATTTGAATAGAATATGTGAATATGGAGAAGTCTTTAAAGAAGAAAAAGCTTTTTCTGAGTGGCGGTGGACTTTAATGAATGCATAATAATGTTCAAATGTTTTCTTTACTAAACTTTCTGAAACCAGGTTTCTTCAGATACCGGATCATGTTCAGGATGCTAGTGTGCATGTAAACATGTGAAATAATGTGAAATGTTTTCTGTGAATAAGCTGCAAACCGCCTCGTGGCTGATGGATGATGATGATGAAGACTTAATTTTGCGATATCTTCTGAACGCTTCCTAACAGCTTCTCTCTTCCTGTCCTCAAACAGAGTAAATGTGACGACAACGCCACATCAGATGGAAGCACTTCAATTGAAGAGAAAGACCCTCTATTAGAAGATGATATGGACTGACACGCACACACGCACACACACGGCACGCACACGCACGCATGCAACACACACACGCAGCAACGCACACACACACACACAGCTGGTTATGTGGACAAACATCATTCCAGTATCATGGACTGAAACACTGTCACAAGGTGCTCTGCTCAGCGTATTTTAAAGCTCTGCCATATGTGACTGTACTGTAAAGTTTATGAAACTGTCAGCCGCGCACTCATTTTCTTTAAATGTGTCGAGGCTGTCGGGGTTGAGACTGATTTAGCCTCTTCATGGCGGAGTGAAGCTCACTCAAAGCCACTCTTTGTATATAGAACTACCAAAAACCACTATTTCCAGTTACATGTGTGCAGGATGTGAACTACAGGGGAGCCTCCTTGGATTTTTGCAGGATTTTTTCCCGGGGCCTGAAAATTTCTTACTTCCTAGAAAATTGCCATGTATTTTGTGGTGTTTTTTAGGCATTTTGTTGCAATGTAATTGCAGGGGGAAAAATTAAAATAATTGTTCAAAACTTGTTCCAGTGAGAATAAAATCGACCGGTTTGGAGGGTAAATGTGAGACGTTCGCGTCACACATGTCTGCACCTTCGACGCTAGAGTTGTGAAAGAGAGTTTGGTGACGTATGACTCGACATTTTGTGTGGGAAGCTACGATGAATGAGATGTTTGCCACAGTGATTGGACAATATTGCAAAGCTACGCCAAGTTCACAGGTTCAATTCATGTTGTTGCCATCAGAACTTCCTGGAGGGACCACAATGTGTTATTTTTGCCATGCATTTCTATTCTTCTGCATCTTCATCATCATGGATTATGTGTAAACTGAGGCTACTCTTGATGTATGATTTGTGCATGAGGATGACTAATCACTAATTAACTTATAAAAACCCACTGCTGTTCTTGCCATCACCACTAAAGCGAGACAGCCAGAAAATATCAGAAAATATATCCCCCCAGCGACGAGTGAGCTCCCCCCAAAAGCCGTGGTATAGTTCGCACGCTGCATGTGTTCGATCATCAGCGTTGATCTGAAACAATTTAGAGTTTTATCACTTCAGCAGGAGCAGTAGTGATGGTCACTGCAGTGGCTGTTTTTGCTGCCATTTTAAATAAATGTTTCTGTATCAACAACAAGGGAACCAGACATGCAGAAATCTCTTTCTCTGTACAGTAGTTTACTACCAATGTGCCTTCATTGTGCAGCAAATGTTTCTGTTGTTTAACCCGGGGTTTTTGTATTTTACGTGCAATAAAGACCACAGAGTTGGATTTGTCGTAGAGGCTCAAACACAATCAGAGCCAGACGCACTACTATTTGTATACTACTGTCTTCTGTAAAGGTGTGAATGTATTTCTTGAAGTGGATGTGAATGATGCCGCGTTGGGTCAAACGCCTCCTTGTTATTAATACGCAAATGAGTGAAGAAAAACATAATAAATGTGCCTTTGTTTGAAAATCTATTCATGAACGTGTGATCTCTTCTTTTTTGTTCCCACAGCGAGCAGAAATATCATAATGGTGCAAATTGAGATGCAGGGTTTCTGCAGGCTTCAACAGGTCAAATTTAAGAGTTTTTAAGACCATTATGAACCTAATTTAAGACAGTTACAAAGATTTGTAGTTACAAAATACAAATCTTTACCAAAAATACATCCAAAAAATCATATTAAAGACATTTTAATTAATTAATGTGGAAGACCGAAACTGCTAAAACAATTAATCAAATGATGTGCCAAGAATAATATTCAAAATAAATGTAGGCATTAATTAATATTATATAAAATGTAACACACTGATATTTGTTTTAATTTGCTTCTGTGTTTTCTTTTTACATTTCTTTATGAATTTCTGCTTCAATGTGCAAATGAGGTGGCTGTGGTTGATCGACATCAGATTTTCAAAAAAATCTAATTTACAGAGAATTACAACAAAATACAAGAACATTTTATTATATTTAAGAATATTTAGCTACTCTGTATACCACAACACAGTTCAAGAAGACATTCCTTCTTTCTTCTTAACAGCACCAGTTTTAGCTGGATTTACCTAATAAACTTTTACTTTTGTCATTTAGCTCTCAAAAGAATTCTTGGTACTAAAATAAATAATGAGTCATAATTCTGTAACTCACTATAGTAATGTCATCTGCAAACTTAAAGCTGCTATAATCAATATTTTAATATGAACAGTAAGTCCAATGACTATGTAATGTGAACAGAGGTTATTAACACGGACAGACACACAGAGATTTAAGACCGACTGCAGTTCCCCCCCGGAGCTCTCTGAGTTTTTAAGATACAATTTTTGGCTCATTGTTTCGGTTTTTACGGCCCGCAGCTGTACTGTTTCGGTTCAGTCTTGACGCTCTCGTCAAGGATGTTTCCAGCAGCTGTTTGCAGGAAACCGTCTCTGATAAACCACATACACCCAGCTCCTTGGTGTTTTTGCATATTGTGATGTAATTTCTTTGAGTATCTTTATATACATAATAATATAATTATTCATATAAATAAAATCTGTACAACAGTTATATAAGTATAAACACCATAATAGACTATTCCAATTTACTTTTTAATCCAAGGTTCTGCTGCTAGACTGCTAACAAAAACAAAGAAATACCTTAAATACATCTTTTTTTAATACAAATGTTAAATTTACTCAGTTTTTTGTCACTAAAGCAAATTATTACATTACCGTGCAATAAAAACAATGTATAATTAATGAATTATTAAAATGGTATCCAATACATTTTCTGTGTTTTTTTATGTGACAAATATTAAATCTTAGATCCTAGATCATTAAGAATTATCTGGATGTATACTTGGGCTTATGATGATTAATAAACTTAAATAAAACATAAAAACTACAGCAATATACTGTTGACATTTTTATAAATAAATAAAACAAGTCAATGGAACAAACTGGAATTATTTCACCTGTACTTAAAATACTGCCCACATTAAAGTTCAAACAATTCATTTTTGGGTTTAATTAATGTGAATGAGTGACTCCAATTAATTAATTAATTTATATTAAGCTGTGTTTAAGGTTTTACAGTGTATGTTTCCAATCTATGGAACAGTCAAAGACATTAGAGACGCAGGATCTGCTGAAATCTTAAAAACGTAACTCCTTGAACCTTTTTATAGCACTACATCTTACAGTGTGACCTTTTATGCCTTCCCTTATGGCTCGCTCTCTCTACACTTCCTGCTTTTTAATCAATTATGGGTTGTTTTTTTGTAAATGTAAAGCGCTTTAAGTTGCCTGTTTTGTATGAAAGATGCTACATAAATAAAGTTTCTTTATGATTTGACACTGAACTTATTTTACAGTTTACTTTATCCTGTGGGAGCTTTGGGAGGGAATATAAGCCTCTTTTTACTACGAGCACTTTAATATCATCAACAGGCTTTTTAAAAATGTGTATCTAAACTCTCTTTATTATTTCTGACTTCCAAATGAAATAAATAATATATAATATATATCTTATTGTACTACAGGTTAACGGCGGGTTTGATGTTGATCAACCGAGGTTGTCCACACAGTTTCTAAATACAGTAACGGCACAAATGCCCTCCAGATATTTACCGCAGCTCTCTTCAGGCAGACGATTCTTTAGAAGCCTTGTTCTGGTATTTTAATTTGAAAAGGAGATTTGGGAGAAGTTGCCCTGAAGTGTTGCCTTAACATTCTTTTGAGTCATTTGGATGAATGTCTTCTGGGTGTGGGAGGTAAGTGTGGGAGGTAAGTGAGGGTTGTCTCATCACATTTGGGATCGTTTTATACTAATTTCACGCTTCCCGTTGTGTCATTAGTTTGCTCATACATATGAGCAGTTTGGGATTTTAAAGCTAGGTGGAGCTGTGGAGGCGTGCTGCGGTGGCCTGTGGTGCAGCAGCATTGTGTCTGTCTCCAGCCCCGTTCCTGTGGAGCTGTAACAGTGATAGTACATCTTAGCATTGAACACACAACCTGAACCAAAAAAAATAAACGTTGGCATTGAAACACCTTTCCCAACATGCTGTAGGTTGGGTATTTACTGACATATTGTATGTCGTAGAACAAAATGTTAAAATCTCTTAAGCTTGTGTTAACCACAGACCTTATTTCAGGCTTTTAACTGAAAACCCCTCGGCTTCCTACTCATTCCTGCAGCACTTTATATAAGAAGTTATGCAATTCCAAAACTGTATATGGACTCCAGTCTGCAGCAATATCAAAATACTCTAGATGCAAAAAATGTATGGTTTTTGCCCCAAACTGAATGGAGGTCAGAGGTTATATAAATATGGAATTTTATTGTTGAATTTGATATGATATGATATAATGATATTAACTATGTTTTTCATTCATCATGGGCGCATGAAACACTTGTATGTAACATATTTTATTTTAAATGTAGGTTTGAATT